CCTCCCGGACACGTAAGAGGAGAAGATAGAGAGGAAATAAGAGAAGGAGCTTTAAAAAAACCCAGGAAGCGGACGATTACCACAAGTACGAAGGGATGATAAAGTAAATCCGAGGGAGAACAGCAACACCTAGGGACAAAGAGTGGGAAATGATGATTGTGAGGGGCTGCTTAAAGTCCAAACTGTAAATCCGGAGCGAACAGCATTAAATGGTTAACCGTAAAGAATAGACTTTAGAGGATGATCACACAACCAGAAACAGGAAGGATAAGCCTTTAACAATAAAGCTTGAACAATAAATCATACCATACAAAGACTCGACGTTGGAAACCAATTAATACAACACAGATCAAAACCATAAGAAGTAAAGAGGAAGCAATACAAGATAGCGCCCCAAATTCCTCCCTGTAGAAACTAAACATGATGCCTAACGCAGAAACATTCGGGGAGATACCCTGAATAATAATAGGACCAAATACACCAAACCACCTTGCAGCATGAACCATAGCAAATAAACCTCAGCGGTGCACATTACACAAACAGTATAAACACTAAAGCTAGGGCATGCAAGGACGACCCTACACTTCATCGAGCAGAGAGAAAATCTAAGGGTATCCGATCAGTCCTACAAAGTAAAAATGGATCCGCAACCATGGAATCTGAGCCGTAAACCGTCAAGACATGGCAGAGGAGCCTAAGCCTAAAGAGATAAGAAATAAAGACAAGCAGCAAAGATAAGGAGGCATATGTGAAGAATTAACCGTAGGAATAAGGACTAGAGAGTGCCAGTACACGCTAAGCCACAGGCCTCACTGATAAACCGTGGAAACTGAGCCATGAAATATACAGCCTAGGGCCCAAAACATACAAGCCAGAAACTACTCCCTAAATCCTAAAAACCTGAGGATGATCGGAGTACAAACGGCGCATAATCAGTGAATATTACCCGCCTAAAATAACTTATCGGACAATACTAATAGACGCTAAGGAGTAAAAACAGGCCTCCCTCGATACACAGGAACTTGGAGGCGTAAACATAGAAGATGAAGCCTGACGACTACACTCAAGAGTAGAACCAGCAAGATAAAGAGTAAAGCATTAATCCTAAACATTAAAGAATAAGGAGTGAACAATAAAACTTGACACAAGACCAAACCGCCATAAACCGACAGCGCAATGCCATGGATAAACTCCGGATGAGATAAGTGCTTAGACCCCGAAACCTAATTGCGCACACTAGAAGCCTAAGAACCAACGAATAAAGGTAAGAATATAGGAAGAAATGTACTCTTTAACAGAACTCCATAAAATAGGAGCCATCAGAATTACAGAAACCTGAGCACAACAGTAGGGTGACAGATGGAGAGCAGGACTAAGCAAGAATGGGAGCAACATAGAGCCTCAAGCAATAGGCCGAAAGCACAGCTTATGCAGTACGAGATAGAAACCATATAATAACGGGAAGGGGCATGGAATCACAACATACTTCTGCAATATACACTTCCAATCTCTACACCTAAACATTGCATGTGCAGCACAGTGCATGAAGCATCAGACTTACTTCATCATCAAGCAGCCATAAGCCATACCTAAAGTCACATAGACATCGAAGCCTAGGAATTAACACAGGAAGAGGAAGGCTGAGACAGAGAGCCCTGGATCCAACATCGAACACTTAATCATTCTGGGTTAAGAGATAAAGCATAAGGAATGAAACCTAAGGAGTTAACAATACCTGCAGGGGCAATAACCAGGAACTATACATACCGAAGCAGGAGAAGTCAAGTCCTAAAGGATAAACTCTGAACTTAAGGCCATAGTCTGGCCTCATGAACATAAAGCCTAAATGTCCCCATGAGGCGCCAAATCTGCAAGCTAACCGCTAACAAATTCAGTCGTAATGGAGAAAGAGAGCCTCCAAATTATAACCATTAAACCGAACAAAATAGACAGCAGCACAAGAAGAGTTATAAGTTGAACCTAACAGGTAGAGGAGAGGAAAAGCCCCCTCAAAGGAAAGGAATAGAGAATACGGACTAATCCAGGCAAAGGAAAAAGTAAGGGTCCAGTCGGGGGCTTAAAGCTAGGAATAGCCCCTAAAGGGTAAGCCTTAACTAAAGAGCTATAAATATAAGCCACAAAGACTCCAGACAGCCCCCCCCCCCATAACCCTGAGTCACCAACCTTATAAAGTCCAGGTGCCTCATTGAAACCAGGAATCCGCGGCCCTGAACCCTGAACTTCCATGCTTGGAAACCAAAACTAAATAAGCAGGAGTAAATCCTCCACCTTACGTCAAACAGTATGAAATCTGAGACTAAACCATACCGCCAACGAATTACACCCAGCGAACAAGACAACAAAGAAACTATGAATCCTCAGTATCGAACCCACAAATCTACAGGTAGCAGCTAGCCCACAAAGGCCAACTTACAGGCGAATGCGGGATAGACTGCAGAATCAGCACCCCCGAATGTGAACCCAAAGAGGCAAAAATAAAGACGAATTACTAAACCCAAAATCAAGAAGAAAAACGTACCAATATGCTTCTGGTATGAACCATAGGTGCTGAACTTTGAGAATACACGTACGTCAAGGTACCGGAACCTAACACTGGGAACCTATAGTAATAGATCATGACCCATAGGAAATCACATCAGTAGGATTGACGTTGCGGAGTAGCAGCCGAATATTAGAGCCAAGAAAATACTCCCTGAACAGTACACCCTAGATCCAGGAACCATAACATCTAAAGATACCAACATAAGAAAAAAACCGTAGAAGATGAAAAACAACCCCTGAGCCTGAACGTTAAAGACTAACTCATATAAATTGACCAACACCGATTAAAAGGAATGGCCAAACCCCATCGCCATAACCTAAACCATTGGCGCGAACACTGCGAGCGCAGGGTCTAAAACGGAAGCAAAGGATATATCACTAAACTCGTAAGCACTAAATCGGAGTCAAGCAGGGCAATAACTGAAGAATAATCAGCATGCACTGGATACCTCCAGTGTGATCCATAGAAAATTCAATCTACCAGGCCTAAAAGACGAGAATTGAAACGACAAGAAATAAACCCTTGACCTAAATAATCGAACAGGAAAAGAAAACGAACAAAAAACAATCTAATAATTCAAACAAAAGACAGAAGAATACCACCCCAAGGGCCGTGAACGTAATCAAAGGAATATAGTGCACGAAATTCAGAACATCCCCACAAAACAGAAGTGCATAACTCCTGAACGTTAGGGGCTAAAATCTAAATCCAAAGCACTGACGACTAATCTCTGATCCCAGCTCGCTAAACCATAGACCCTAGAACGTGGAACATATCCCGTGGACAGAGGACCCTAAGGCGTGAATCGACAACCGCGAATCCTAAACCCTAAACCCTAAAGACTAAACAACAACCCTGACCCCAAACACATAAGATCTGAAACCTGAAATAATAGATCCTGAACACTAAAATCTGAACACTGAGACGTGAACCCTAGGACATGAAGCCTCAACCGTAAAAGATGACCACTGAACCGTAAACGCTGGACCCTCAACAATAAGCCATGAACCCTGAACCCTAAACCATAGACCGTCAACCGTAAACCCTGAATCATAAAACCTAAACCATGGAACCTTAAACGTAAACAATAAATCCTGAGGGCTAGACACTAAACCGTAAATCCCTAGAACCAAAATCTAAAACATGAACTCTAATCCCATAAACCCTAAACACTAAACCCCTAAGACCTAAAACATAAAGCTTAGAACCTAAACCTAAAGATTAACCCGTAAACATTAGAGCCTAAAATCTAATCCCATAAACCGTGAACCCTGAACCCCTAAGAGCTAAACCATACCACCTAGAACCGAAAACAGGACACTAAGCCGTAAAACGTAGATCCTAAACCCTGAAAAACTGAACCCTGAACACTAACCCCTAAACCCTAAACGGTGAAAGCTGAATCCTAAACGCTAACCCATAAGCGCCTGAGACGTGAACCCAGAAACTAACAGGTAAAGACTAAACAGTCAAGCCTACACGCCAAAACCTCAAAACTAAACCAAGAATGCTAAGCTCTAAAACACTAGAATGTGAAGCCTAGACGTAAAAGAGTAAAGCCTAAAATATAAACCCAAAAACCTAGATCATAAACCAAAAGCCTACACATAAAACCTAAACGTAGACCCTAAAGCCTAAACCTTAAGGACTAAACCACTGACCCATAAGACGTCAACCATTGACCCTAAGAGATAGACCATGGACCGTGATCCCTACACCTTAGGGGGGCAGCCGAAACCAAAAGAGTAAACCCTAAACCCTAGAAACTCAACGATCAATCCGAAACCGTAAATAGTACAGCCAGAATCGGTGAACCCTCAATCGTGGAGCCGGAAGCGTAAACCGTAGCCCATAATCCATAGAACCCTGAACACTAAACCAGAACGTTAACGACTGAGAAAGCCCCGCTAACGGCTAAAACCTAGAGACTAGAACCCAGACCATGAACCCTAAACCGTGAACCCCCAGCCCCTAAGCCCTAAAACATGAACCATAAAGCGTAAAACTTAAGCCCAACTAGATGAAAATTAAACCTCCAATTTTAAAGCGAAAACCCCGAGAATAACGGCTCGGTACAAAAACATGATCCCTAGAACCTGAACCCGTCCATCGTAATAGCCACAGTTCAGACTTCTAACCCCAGCTGGTAATTGTGAAACTCTGAATTTCTGATTGGAGGGCCCAACCCCTAGCCCTCTAATGCTTCATCCAAGTATAAAATGCCAAGCTCTAAACCGGAGACCTTCAATGAGAACACCTAATCTTCGAACGGTCCTCGTTAACTGCCTAATGCAATTTTCACCCGTCCGGGGTAAGACGTCCTTGACAGTACCGCACATATGGCGTGGTGGCAATTCATGCTCGGCCATCTCAATGGTCGCGTTTAGTTCCATGCTCGGATTAATACCTCCAATTTTAGCGGCCCCTGCTTGCTCCTCTAAGCAAGAGAGATATGAAATCTCTTCTTCCTGTTCCCGATTGGTTTAACTTTCTTCCCTGAATAGAAAATCCGATAATATCCATACGCTCCCAGTAAAGCCATTAGGACTCCTACACCGGCGCCTAGGAGTTGGGCTATTAACCCTGATCCGTCAGAGCCACCCTCAGAAGCAGAACTCTCATCCTGTTTCGGGTTGTTGGTGGTTTCCGATCCTCTGCTCCCCGTGTCCGGTCTTTCCTTCTCGAGCTCCTCCCCTATTGACTCTAGGACTTTTGCCATCTCTTGGAGACAACTCGCTTGTTCATCCTTGCATTGCCCAATTTGTTCCGTCCCGGCCACTTCGGTTTCGTAGTCCACCTGTTCCTCCTGTGTTGCTTCTATTCTTGTTGTAGACTGCTTGCAATATATCTCCTTATCACCTGCATCCTCTCCGTACAAAAATTCACTTATAACTTCATAAACATCCTTTCCCTCTAACAACTGATATGACTGCTGGCCGGTCCTTTGGGACTGCTCTAGAAACCACGTCTTCATGATTTGTTGAGCTATTCCTTCGCCGCCCCACTTCTTTAAGAGCTTGTAGAATTTTGAACACGGGTTCCTCGCTTTAATCTCCTGTGCTGTTCTTCGCATGCTGCTGGTCATCTGGAAATAACCCATCAACATGGTGACAAGTTCTTTACATGCCATGAAGGTTCGATCCCTCTTATTGTTGTTGTTCAGTTGAATCTTGTGGTTCAACCCCTTCCAGTGATATGCGCCCAATGGGTTGCTACATTCCGGTTGAAAAGAACTGCCCCTAGCTCCCCTCCCAGTTTTCCCGACGGTGCACTTCCCCCATTCATACTGGTCCACTCCTTCCTGTTTCCTCGTCATGTGGGCTCCTAAGATTTCTAAACCCAAACAGACTCCTGAACTAAACTTCCAAACTCTTTCTAAAGTGTCGTTGGCCTCGTGATAAGCATCTGTTAAGTACTTCCACTTGTCCATATCTTTTTCTCCAGAGCTATGTTGTTTCTTCAGATAATATGCTCTGAAATCTTCGCTAATATTCGTGTCTGCCTCTGCAGTCCCCTCCGCCTTGTCCAACATGTGGTGGAAATATTCCTGCAATTGCCACATCTTGCTCTTATTCTATTCGTGAGACGACACCTAATTTACTCAATATCTCTTTTTCACTCTATTGTTATTCCTACATCTCTCAATTCCTTCATTCGCTGGCGTCCTCGTGTGACTCGATAATAGTCTTGACTTACTGCTCCCTCTGTTTCTCTGCATGAAGTGGGGTCCCTTCTCTTTTCCCTCTTTTTTGGAATCCTTGTCATAGTCAGTGCTTCTTAAAGGGAGGATTCACTCTCGATGTCTGTAATCTAAATTTATCGTATGGGCCCGGAGAAATGTATTTACGTTTTGCTAACCGCGTATGACACCTCGGCGCCTGGGAGTCGTTCCCTGCTTGGAAAACTAAGGATTTGCAGGCTTCGGGAATTGAATCCCTTTCTCGGCTGTATAGTTGTCCTCCCACCCCTCCTCATCCTTACTCTGACCATACTTCCTCTTACCGTTGGTTTTGGCGTCCCTGGCCCTGCCTCGTATAATCCTCCGGATCCTGCTCTGAGAATTCGCGACTGCCCCCAACTCCAGCTAAGACCTCCCCTCCCTCCTCTAATCCTCTGAGCATTGTTGATCCTCCGGAATTCCCTATTATAGACTTCGTTGTGGATCGAACGCGCAAGTTCTTCTTCCACCCTTACTCCTGGAGATTTCCCCATATTTGTCCCCTGAATTGGGTCCACCTGGGGGCTACGAGCAAGTGCTGTTCCTCATGTACCTTATCTCTTGACCTGGGGGTCCCCTCACTTCTATTCGTCGTGGAGTTATCAATCTCGTCCTCTTTTGTTTGCTCTCTAGTCCTTCCCCCTGGAGCTTCATATGCCCTGCTGTAGTTGTTTGTGGAGGTCTAATCCTCTTTGATTCTCAGGACATATTTACGCTTCGGGTTTATCCCTTCGGGCTCCTGGAAGATTTTTGAACCACCTCATGCTTGGGGGTGTTGGGGTCCCGCCTATGAACCATTTGGTCCTCCTTTGCTCAGGCCATCTCCCTCTTTATTCCTCTTTATCGAGCTTCCTTCGATCAGCAACCTTCTCTTTCCCTGGCCTCTGAGTCCCTGAGCCTCTGAACAAGTTCCCCCCTTTTCGTTATCACTCCATCGCCTCTGCTCCTTGATTTCAGATGCTAGCTGTATCCTGTACGATCCTCTTTTTCTCTCATGAAGCCTTCTCCTGCCGTCTGTCCTTTGGGGGAGGGCCTCCTCCTTCTCCTACCGGCCCATCGCCTTCTACTCCCTTGCTTGTCATAGAGGCAGCTAAGAGACCACTTGTTGATTTATCATATTGCCTTCTCCCCTAACTGTTTACTCACTTCCAACTTCCTCCTCTTACTCAGCCTCACGATCCTCGTCCGGCCCGTCCTTGCTCTCTTTACGTTCTGCTAATTTTTGAGCTGTTGTCTTCCCCCTCGTCTTGTCCATCTCCTCTTTGTTATTTTTCCCCTCGGTGGCTAGTTCCTTGACTTCTATGACTGTTCCTATTTGGCTTGGTTTTGCGGCGTGGTTCCTTCTCTTGCTCCCCTAGTTTTTCGTCTATTGACTCCTTTGGTTTCTCCGCTTTTGCGAGATGTCCCTCTCCTGCCTTTATATTCTGCTATTTGCTCTGCTATTTCCTTGGGCAGCGGCAACTAACCGCTCGGTGGTCTCCTCCTTAGTTTCTTCTAATTGCTACGAATTGCTTCCCCCGATGAGGCATACCTGCTCCCCCCTTCCTCGTTCTCACCTTCTGCGACTGTTCCCGTGGTACTGTCATTCTCCATCTTTCTTGAGGTTACGATATTTCTCTTCGTTTGATGGCCCCCTCGCCTCTTTGTTGCGCGTGATTAGATCCGGATGTCTCTGGGACTGGCTATACCCGCTATGGGTTCGCCCCTTGGCTGAAGGTTTTGTGGGGGATTCCGCAGTTCGTTCCCGCCCCGGATTAACTTTCGCCCCAGCTACTTGTCCTGGCTTTATCTGGACCCCTCCTAGTTGGGGGTTTTTTCTGGAGTGTCTATTTCCTCGGTTTGGTTACTCTAGTGGATTACGCTTGGGATGTTTCGGAGTTCTTGGGGCCGTTTGGGACGCTTCTCTCTACTTTTTTAGTCTTTTTGTCCTACGGGTTATAGGAATATCTCCCTTTAGATTTGATGCTCTTCGGGGCATTCCTCTCAGATATTGTTTTTTGTTCTTCCTTGGGGCCCTTCTGAGTGGTTCCCCTTCTGTGTTATCTCTTTTTTTTCTCCTTGACTTTTCTTTTGCAGTTACGAGACTTTCACATTTGATCTTCTTCTCTAGGTCCTAGTCTTTGAACTCACATCCTTCTTGTTTCTGCTGGTTGCTCATCTCCTCGGCTGGTCTACACTTCCTTTGTCCCGGAACGTTGGGGGCCCGTTCCTTCCAAGGAGTAAGTTGCCTAGTCTTGCTTCTGAAATGGTTGCTCCTTAAGGAGGATCCTTTTTCATCCTTGTAACTTTCGGCTAATTGATGTAGTTGTTCTTCGCTGCCGGGGCCTTTCTCTCCTTTTATATCCTCTAAAGAGGCTCACCTGGGGGTTGGTTCTTAGTGGAGGTCCCCCTGAATTGCTCGCTTTTGGGGGTGTCCCGCCTGAAAGTTCGTCAGCTCCTTTTTTCTTGAGTGTTTTGCCTATTTCTAGACCCTTCGGTGGCTGCGAGTTGGTAGTGGACCGTTCTCTTCAGACCTCCCCTTCGGGGCACGGATGCAGCTGATTATTATTGTTCCTGCAGCCTATACTCTGACCCTGAAGTACTTTTGGGTCAGGAGCATCCTTGGTGTTCTTCGGCTTCCCTGTTCTCAGAATTCTTCCGTGAGGCTATAGGAGAAGTAGATGTCCTACTGATCAGCCTTGATTGTCTACGTCCTCTGCAGGTCATGACTATAGTAACTTCATCCTACGTCTCTTGTGCTTACGATCGCGCCATTTTTCTTGATCTGATTAATATGGAGAGCCTCTGAATACCCATTGGGTCCCTTCGGAAAGACTTGTATCGATACAGTCACTTCTTCTAGTAATTGTTCTGTTTTTGGGGTTCATTGCTCGTGTTGGTACCTCTGTCTGCTTTATAGGAGTTTCCTAGGGGGGGTTCCTCAGTAATTCTTGATTATAAGCCTTCTGTTGGGGGCTAATTCTCTACCCGGGGGGGGACCATTGCGTGGGTTCAGTTAATTGTCCTTCCCTCTCAGGTGTCGACTTCCTTGAATCTATCAAGAGCCGCCGGGCTTCTTTTGATTTTTTCGTGATACCTGAAGTCTTCCCTTGGAGACCTACTGTTGTGGAGGGGGCCGTTCTCTTCTATACAGGGGTCCGAGGTTAAGTTTTACCTGGGTGGTTTGGCTGGGGGTGTTAGCTTCTTGGTATCCTTTGAGGAATTTTTCCTTGGGTTCTTGTCGTCTGGTTCCTAATGATTAACTGATTCTTCTTTTCTTTCGGGGGGTGTTTTGGTTTGGGTTGTTTGTTGGGTGTTGTGGATATCTATCCTTCATTGCCTCTGTTCCGGCCCCTTTCCTGGTGCTATATCGTTCCCGTCTTTACCTATCGCTAGTTATATAGTCCCCCCTTTATTCTAGACTTCGCCAGATAGATTCTATTATTGCTTCCTTATTTTTCTCCTGGGGGCGCCTGAGTTGGTATTCTTATTTTAAGAGTTACAGACCTCCTTATTTGGGTAGTTGGGAGGATGTAATTTTCCTACGGCAGTCTCCTGAAGTTCCTGTTGTTCACTTTTATTTGAATTCTTCTGTTACTTTCTTTTTTAATCACTGCCTTTTAATGTCTCCTGGGGCCTGTCTGCCTGGCCAGATGTGGGATCTTTTGATTTAGATATCACTCTCTCCTGTGGGTTCCCTCCTCTTCCCCAAGAATGATATTTTGCCTTTTATACTCCTTCCTGAGTCGCGCACTGTTTTCTTATTTTTGTATTACTAGATAAGTCTTCTTTTCCTGGTGGGTCTGTAATATTGAAACCTTCTGACTTTTTGTTTTTGGGGTTATTTTACTTATCTTGTGTTGACGCTATTATTCTTTTAACATATGGTTGAATTCTCTTTAGCCCGAGTTAGTATTGGTTCCTTGATTGCTTTTTTGGTGGAGGAGGGGGACTTGGGTCTTCGGTTCAGGATGAGAATATATACTGTGGGAACTAAGGAACCTCCGAATTACCATTATTCTAACTTCAGCTGTCCCCTTAAAGTTTCAGGTTTGTCCTTTACTGTCTTTTATACTTGGGTTGTTTCGAGTTGTTGTCTGGGGGGATTTGGTCAGTTGGGATTCGTCTGCTTGTGCCCTTTTTTTTTGTCTATTTTTTCCAAGTCGGTTGCTCATGCGGGTTGCGGAGTCCCTTTCTCGCTTTTCTTTGATTATCTTAGGATTATTTCTGGCGGCCCTTATATTTCCTCCTACCAATTCTTGGGTTATTCTTTGCTTTTTCCTCTGAGACTTGCCCCTCACTCTAATTAGGATCTAGTATTTGTGGTGTTGGTTGGGGTTCTAGTTTTTGGACAGGCTGGTTTTCGATGAGAAAGTGGTTCTGCTGATTTGTAAGTGCAGGTAGTGGTAGATAGTCCTGCTCTTTTTGGATGTGACCCTTGTTGTCTTGTGAAGATCATTCATCCTTTTCTTAGTTGCTGTCCTGTCTTGGGGGGGGTGACTTCTTCGTCATGCTTCTCCTCTGTTACTTTTAGTTGGTTTTGGCTTATGGCATCGCCGTATTCCTAGATTTTTCCAGTTTCAGCTGTCCTTAACTTGCAGGTTATGGAATCAACTACTCATTTAACCAGTTATTCTTTTCAGGGTTATTCCTTATTCTGTTTCTTGTTACGTTAGATGTTCGGTTTCTTGTGGTTAGGCTGCTAATACTGGTGGGGAAGATGATTCCTAGTCTTCGGGTTTGTTTCTTTGGTTGTGTTGGCTCCTTATACTTTGTCTGTAAATATCATCAATTAACACTCTTTGTTCTGGAATTTGTGGCTTAGTATTATTTTTGCCTCGTATGCTTCCAGGAGATTATTGTCCCTTGTTCCTTTAGGGGAGGACTATTGGTTATTTAGTGATTCTTTTGGGTTCGGTCTCCGGCAGTCTTCTTCCTCATCTCATGTTTTTCAGGTAACCTGCTGACTCCTGTGTTAGATTGTCCTTCCCTTTTTAAGTCATCAACTTTAAGATCATACGACTTCGGGTTGATTCCTTGGGTTTCCTTCCTCGTTATATTTTTTTAGGTGCTTGTGCATGGTCTGGCCCGTTCCTTCTCAGGAGTTCGTTGATCATTGACATTTGGGTTTCTTGTTCTGGCTTCTTCTGTTTTCTTCGGTATTTTACCAGCTTCTGGGGGTGTTGGGGGGTTGGTTGTCTCATCTGACGTTTTTTAGACTTCTAGAGTTGCCGTTGTTTTTCGACTATCCTATTAATTCACTTGTAAGTCAAAGGACTGGAACTTCTGCAATTTGATCTTTTCGAATTATTCCCCGCATAGTAGGCAGGGGGGCTGGTGTCAAACACGGGTTGCTTCTGTTCCTCAAGATTTTTCTTGTTACTTTGTCTTCGTTGTTTATTTTGATCTGTGCTCTTGTTTTCTGGGGCAAGGTATTCTTCTCAAGTTATCCTGTTGGGCTGCTTTGTCGCCCACTATTTTACCCTTATTGTTCCTTCTGTTTTTAGTCTTGGCTTCTATTTTTCAGGCATGTGTCTGCAACCTTTCCCCGTGGGGGGGTGGGGGGTTGGGTGCTTCACTCATTAATTTGCCAAATCTTTCTCAGCTGATATGACGGTGTGCTATAGCTTTCTCGTTTTTAATAATTTCGTGCTCCTATTGCTTCTCTTACTTTTGCCCTCTGTTTTGCTTGGGGGTTTTTTGTTCTATACTTTAGGTTCGTGTGTTGTACTTTTATCTTCAATCATCTTCCTCTGTATGGTGAATTCTAGTGGGGTTAGTAGTCCTACATGGCCTTTCTTTAATGCTAACCCACTATTTCTTAGGATCCAGTTGTTTCTTTGGTAGGAATTTTTCCTTGTTCTGGCTTCGTCTGGGTTGCCTCTCCTTGTGTCTTTCCGTCTTTGTTCGACATTCCTTTATTGAAGTTTCTCGTGCCATTAATACTCTCATTATGTATCATTCTCCCCACTCCTCTTATTAATTCCTCGTTGGATCTCCCTGTACATTTATTTTTATTTAACTCTTTCTATTTCTTAGGAGTTGGAGGCTCGTCGTGTTTATTCCGGTACTCCTGTTTCTGTCGAAGTTCCTTCTCTTTCTATATTATATAGGGGGTTGCTCTGTCTTCAGCCTCATCAATTATTTTATGGGGTTTAGTTACTATTCCTCTCCTATATAGAGATACTTCCATATCACTCTATAATGGGCAGTTTTCTTGTCCTTCGTGTTTGGCTTATGAGTGCTCCTCCTTTTATTGGCAGGGATTCTGGGTTATTAATTTTATACTCTCTAAGTATTCCATATAGCTTTTAGGGATTTTTTGCTAACTTCTTCTGTTATATATACGTATTTTTATTCATCCCAGTTGTCCTGGGTTTTTGGGTCCTTTATCTTCCTGGTTTTTACCTATTAGTATTATTGTTAGATCCTTCTTACCCTCATTGGTTGTTCCTTTTGGTGTCTTGTCGAGTGTTTTAATAATATATAATCCTAATGATGGTATTCTATTTCCGCCCACATGGGGGCTGCCAGGGAAAGATATTTTGATTTTCCCCCACGGCTGAATCTTTAAGATTAATTCCCCTTTGTGCACTTGTCTGCCCGTCTCCTTCTATCTCCGTAATTTTTCCTGTCTTGTACTCGCCTGGCATGTCATAATATAGGACTTTATATTTTCCATAGGGTTTACTGTTGTAGAGGTATACTGGTCGTAAATTTTGGATACTTCCGCTCTGTTCCTATTTTTACTCCTGTTGTTTCTTGTCTGTTGCTGTTGTTTGGTCCCTTCTTTCTCCTCTTTTTAGTAATTACTGTATACTGATCATTCTAAAGATTCTGTTATGATGTTCATCTCCATACGTCTCATTCCTTCATATGCCTTATCAAACCTGCTTCATGGTGTATAGTCTTTCTCTTTGGGTGTTCTCGGTACGCTTCCCTAGTTGTCTTTGCCTGTGTTGTCACCCGGCTCCTTGGTTTACACGAGTGACTCCCATTCAGGGGCGCGTCCGGCTTAATTTATTTTATTATGGCGGAAAGTCCATATTCCCCTTTTCTCGTTCTTGTATTACTTGGTTACCCTTTTCTGTGCCTTTGCTCCTCTTATAATATACACTATCTCTTATCAGTAAATTTTTAACCATTATATGATGCTCCTCGGCTATGTTATAGGTTCCTGCTCATCTACTCCTTAACAGGTCACGAGGGCTGTCTCCATATCATTTCTCATGATATGCTATATAGCAAAGAAAATATCCTATAAGCCACAGCATTCTGTATCCAGCTATTTAAACAGCTATTCTTCTTCCACCTGTGGCATAAATGCATACTATGATAAGGTATCGAAACATAAATAGTCCCCTCTT